AGAGAAAAACTCACTTCACACTACAGGTTGACAAGGCATAAAAGGCGTGATATTGGATCAAACGAAAAATTCCCATACCTCACGTCAAGGTGCTCACCTTCCCTTTTTTACTGACATGAAGGCAACGGTGTACGTGTTTTTTATGTTATTGTGAGCATAAATACTGCGATTCGTCAAATTGGAAACGTCTGATTTAAAACTTCACCATCGAAAAAAATAAAACAGTTCTTTTCAGAAATATATATAACTTACAGCATCTTCTTTGATCGGAAAAAGCCTTTTAAAAAAATCAGGTTGGTTTTTTCACCTTCGTTTCTTCTTTTTAATGAGAGATCGAAAAAAAAAACAGTTATTAGAACTATCAAAAGGAAATTCATTTTATCCTATTGATTTATTAAATAAAGCCCTCATCGTACTGCAGGTTGCAATGGCCCTTAAGGTAGGGTATTTGGCTTACGAAAATCTGTCTTCTTGTGAGCATCAAAAACGTTTATCTTCTCGTTTAAAATAATTTAGCTTCTTCGAGTGTAAATTTAAACATCTCTCTCTCTCTGGTGTTTCCTCCCCCCTTTCCGATAAAGTTTTACAGGAGAAATCAAAAGTTTTTTTAAGTAGAAAAACATCATCCTACCACCTCTCTTACTTAAAGAAAACCTGCTACAAGTTACCATGGCCTCCAAGCTATGGTACTGACTTAAAAGCAAACTCGGTCCCGTGTTTCACGTCAGGGTGCCCACCGCCACCTTTTTTACTGACGTGAAGGCAACAGTTTACGCAGAGCAATTAACGCTTTTGGATGCAGCTTCCTTCGGGTGCAGCGTCAGCGTCATTTAGAAGCTCGGGATACCCCTTCTGGAGGCCGAACAGTCGCCCGACAGCGTAACACAATGCGTTCAACAATGGAGAAACACAATACTTAAATGAAATGGTGGAGACGCGTTTCATCTTCCCATTTGTCTAATTTGTTGTCTTATTGAAAGCATCAAAAGTGTTTGTCTTTAATTTCGTTTTAACGAGTGCACTTTTATAACATCGTCTGCGTTTTTTCAACCGATAAAGCTTCCATTTATTAAAGAAAAAAAAAGTTATTTTAAGAACTAGGAAAAACTTTATTTTTTACACCTTGCTTACTTCGAGAAAGAAACATTGTGCGTTACCATGGCTCTCAGAGCTTAGTACTGGTTAAAACGCACATTTGCTCCTGTGCTTCACGTCAGGGTGCCCACCGCCACTTTTTTAACTGACGTAAAGCGACGGTGAATGCGGACTAACTAATGCTCTTGGATGCAGCGGCCTTCGGGCGCAGTGACTTTTCGGAGTTCTGGTTATCCCTGCCTGAGGCCGAACAGTCGCCCTCGACGGTGTGACTTTTAAACACCTTTCGGAATGAACTGTGAGTACCATCCTCGCACAGTCCTGCCGAAAGCTTAGGGCACGCAACGTTTCGCATTTCATCGATATCGCCGACATTCTCCACCAAAAGCGAAACGTGCACTCGGAGGTCACCATCTGCTCCACCCTCTTCAGTGCTCCCATAGAAAGGTTCAATGCCACCTGGTCTCGTGTCCCCAAGAGCCGACGGCGAACTTTTCGCACTCTGTGGGAGCTGCTGTGCTGTCCCCACGAGACGGACTGCCTAACGTCCAAGATGGAAAAGGTGTTTAGCTCCGTACCTTTCCATCAGTCCGTCTCTTTCAAACATTTCAGAAATTATATATATATATATATGGCCTAACATTCAACACCTGTTAGAGCCTTGCCACTTCATAGAGATAGATCGGGTGGGCATGGGGGCTTTCACCTTCATGGTCTCTACGGAACCGGAGCCATGAAGGAATGCTTCGACTTTTCCGAGTTCGACTTTTGTTGAAGAAGTGTTCTTCCTCGACCGATTTTCATGAAACGGGGACACTTTGATAGTAAATCGCTGCTAAATAGCGAAACCAAGTAAAATGCAATAAATGTGCTATGCTCATAAATCGAAATATTTGTTGTTGTAGATTAGAGCAGAAAATGGATTAGTGGAGCAATTACCAACACATGACTGATAGATAGAAATCCGCTATCAAGAAAAGTGGGAAGACAATTACACATAACCTATTAAACGCTGCATCATATGGAGGGACGGAATTCTTCAGTAGTTTTTCACTTATTTTACAGAAATACATAAATTAGAAGACTTACTAAAAAAGGTGGAATACGAATCCAAGAAAAAGAGTTTCTATTGACTAAAACGCGCAATCGTTCCCGTGCCTATCGCCGCCTTTTTTTTTATTGACGTGACGGCAACGGTTTGCGCAGAGCAATTAACGCTCTTGGATGCAGCCTTATTTCGGCTCTTCAGGCTGCCCGATCCTCGCTTCCGCCTCCTCTTCAGGCTTCGCTGATCGCAATCACTGCTCGGATCTCTAGGCCTCGATGATCACAATCAACTCAATTTTTTTTTAAAGCCTAAACTATTTTTCTCCCCAGGGGGTGATGTGGCGCCATCACTATGGCTTATTACTTGTAAGTAGTGCCACCACATTGTAAATAGACTCCGCCCTTTTTTATCTTTAATTGTTTTCATATATGTTGCTCGTCTCTATGTAAATTTTATAATTACCACCATTTTAATTTTACTGTTTGGCATATATGTTTGTGTTGATTCAATAAATTTGACCGACTTGGCTGCGTTCTTTGGCTATGTGGATTAGCTTACCCCCACATTTGGCCACAAGGCGTTCTTGGATGCAGCGTCATTTCGGAGCTCGGCAGAACAGTCGCCCGACAGCGTAACCTGTCGGAGTCGACCGTGCGTATCATCCTGGTGCAATCCTGTCCATAGCGTAGAGCACGCATCATTTCGCACTTCATCGGAATCGCCAACATCCTCCACTACATGTGAAACGCGCACTCGGGGGTTATTCTCATAAAGAAGCTCAAGGTCACATGATCTTGTGTCCCTAAGAAAAAAAAGGCGAACATTTCCGTTCTCTATGGGAACTTTTGTGTCGTCCTCACGATACAGACACAGATTTCGTATCGTCTAAGGTGGAAAAGGTGTTAAATTCCGCATCTTTCCATTAGTCCGTATCCTTCGATAATCTCAGGGTGTGGCCTAACATACAACACCTGTTAGAGCCTTGCCATTTTATCGAGCCAGCTACGATAGGCATAGGAACTCCTACCTTTAATATCTCTATGAAACTAGAGCTATGATGCAATACATTGAATGTTATGTTTTAATATATAACCCGACAATCAAAACAATTTAATTCTTTCTTAAATTTTCGAAAATAATGATTAAAATGATGTTTATTATTCTGGTTGGTTGATTGATTGATTGTACTATTGTATGGCACAAGAGCCAAATTAGGCTAATATGCCCATACCTACATCCCTTAAAAGTGAAGGCTTCAAGAAAAATTACCTGAATGAGACTTTTGCTCTTTAATGAGTGAGTTAGCTTTGGGCTTGTGGTGCAAAAAGCCAATTTCGGTTAAACTGCGTCAACCGTTTGTCAAAAGAATAAAAACGTATCAAATATGTATCTAAAAATATCGAACATGTACAGGTAATGTATATTCAAGGACAACAAATATAAAATATCAAATTAAATATAGAAATCCAATCCTAAAAATGAAAGCTAAAAAAATTTTGGTGGGGATTTTTCCCTCACCAAACCAAATGAGTATTAAACAGATGAAAGTGATGTGACCATTGAAAATTGGACAATCCATTAAAATGTGATGAACAGAGTAAGAAAAATTGCATGAAATACATTTAGGAGCCTTCTCACCTAACAAATGCGTGTGCTACGACCAATCCGAAGTACAGTTAGTATGACATCGGCTCTTCTCATCGGCATTATAGGCAATGCTCCACTCACATCCTTCTTTCAATGTGTTGCAAATGGGATGGTCATTTATGTAATATGCTAATTAAAGTACTCAGCATAAATGAAATGTTTCAGAATTGTAGTGATAAACAAAATGTTTCTTTGAGATGATTTCCTATTTTGTTTATTATGAAGCTTATCAGTTTAGAGGTGAACGCATTTCATGAAAAATTCCTAAATCACACAGTAAAGTTGATTAAAAGTTTCTCTTAAAACACATCAATCTTTCAGAAACTGAAACAGCCTTAAGCAACATTGAGTTCTTTTAGGAAAAATTCCAGGAAGTAACCATGATTACAGATTTTTAGCTGTTGGCATCTACTAAATAAACCACAGCTTCGCAGTTTGTGAGATACGTAAATGGTTTAAAATTTAAAAATAGAACTAATTTTTTAATAATAAAGTTAGTCATTCACACAACATTTCAAAGATTCCGAAACGTTAATCTGGGTTCTACAGTCTACGTGATCCAGTAGTGTAAACAGAATGAGCGCATGTATAGGAAGGATTTACATTTTGAAAATACGTACACAAAACCGTGGAGGTGTAGTCATGATAAAAAAAAATTAAAAATAAAAATAAAGATTAGAAATAATTGGTGTATGGGAGGTGTTTAAACCCTCAAACACCAATCCTGTGATTGAGTGCTTCAGATATTGCCAAGTGAAATTGCGTTAATTCTGCGAAAAATCACCGAAACGGTAAAGTATTAAATGTCAATTACTACTTATCAAATAACTTCAAGAGCCAGTCAATATAGAAAGAAAAATTTCTTACTGTATCTTACGTTGTTCTTGTTGCACTAAATATACAAGTAATATAAGAGAAGTTTAAGTCAATTCTTACTTGGGTCAACAAAGAAGCATTTTATTTTAGTTAATTTTTATTAAATTGTTACAATTAATGTAAATATGTATATGCATATAATAGAATCACAATATTAAGTGACAAAATAGAATGCGATTTTCATTGCAATTTTCCATTTTCCTTTCTATAAATGGTGTTCGGCTATTTTTTTTTTTTTGTGTTTGTTTGTTACTATTTATATTCATTCATTTAATTTAACTATTCCTATAAAATGATATAGTAAAAAAGAAATCACATTTCTCAGAAATTAGGCCATTTCCCGTGGGATTTGAACCCACGAACTTCGGAAAAGAAGTCCAACGCGCTATACATTGCTTTCAGGGAAACAAAGAATAATTTTCCTTTCTATCTATATACGCTGTTGGACTACAATTTTTGTTTGTGTTACTATTTTTATTCATTTTTTAAATTTAATTAATGAATTAATATTTGAAAAAATGCATTAACATCAAGTGTCATCCACTACAAGTTTTAAAAAATGTATTTGAACTCGAATGGATGAATAGAAAGTATTTTATTAACGACTGAAGATTTGAACAAGATATATAAATAAATATATAGGGAGAATGTGAACTTATAGTAGAAATTGAAAAATCAGCTTAAATGACATACACTATTTGGATAGTTGGCCAGCTTGGAAAATTCATTTCAATGGAGTAAAAAGAGAGAAAAAAAGTGGGTTAGAGTTACGACAAATTATTTTTCATAGAAATTTTAAAGTAATGTAAATTTTAAAGTCGATGAAATGCAAGTTTTAACTTGTCTCGGAATTTAAATAAATCATTATAGTGAAGACACGTACATATAGATGGCAGCACAACACTTTAGTACTTGGCAGTGTAGTACGTGCTGTTACCTGCTTTTTCTATCACACGAATTATTTTTCAGCGTGAACGTTGTTGATCATATTAAAGTTGAGCTGACGATGGAGAATATCTCCACCAATAGATTACCGTTAGGGAAAATAGAGGCTGCTGCATTTTAAAATTGAACTAGGACTTATATAAAGGAGAATGAAAGTGTTTCACACAGATGTATTTTCTTCATAACTCGATGGTGATTTAAAACAACGAATAGCGTTGTCAGTAATGATACTCTGCGAAATTAATTTGAAATTTGCAATTGTTTTCTTTTCAGTTCAAATACAGAGAACTTACATAAACTACAATAGTACTTACGACAAATATATTTTATGTACTTTCTTATTTTGTGAAAGTTATATAACTATAAATTTTTAAACAATATATGGTATGAAATATAGAAAACAATTCAATGACTAAAAGAAAAAATAATATAGTTTAAAAAATGACTTTTTAGACGCGAAGCCCTTTAATGTACCACAGAAAATATTTTAAAAAGTCGTTTCAAACATCAATCATGTCAATTTGATATACATATATCACACACATAACGCATAGAAAAATAACAAAAAGAAAAAGAAGAATAGAAGAATGTCATGTGATGAAGCAACAAATAATGAAAATAAATAAATAAATAAATATAATAGGTCAACGCGTAACAGTGCTCATCTCAGTGTCTTAAATGGCGATTTCTCTCATGCACGCATTATATCTTTATTTCTGACTTATATTCTCATGAATTTCAATACGTCTTTTCTCTTCTCCAGACTTAATTTTCAAATCAAAAAAAGCAAAAAATATCGGAACTAATTACTAAAAAGTGTTGGGTAAGCGGTTAACAGCATAATTTTTCGAGCAACATGCACTCTTTGAATAGCATCTCGAAAAAAGGCCTGAGAACTTCCTTCTCTCACGAGACATAACACCAAGGTACGAACAGCATCGTCGTCCTGCAATGCAATCATCAAAAACTCCCACGTCCCTTCGTTTCCAATTGTCAACATCTTAAGATGTCACCAGGATTTGTTTGAACCGTGTCTTTTTCCCCACAACGAGACTTTTTAAAAACACACAGATACTCAATTTCAAAACTTTTGGAGAATTACATACATGGCTAAACATGCATTTTTTTTAGTTTTAAAACTGCGATTCTTCTCGAGTATTTTCAATTACATTTCAAACGTGTGATTAATTACGTCATCTCCGTTTCTTTTTATCTAACGAACGAACAAAAACACTTCTTTTAAGAACAAGAATATTTTTATATCATCTTTTATATATTTATCAACGAAAGCCACCTGGAGACTGCCGACAGCCATGGCCCACAAAGCACGGCATTGGATACATTTACATTTATTTGTTACCGTATCAACAGTGGAGTAAAGACATTCATTAAATGCAATTGTTGAAATATTTCATCTCCCCAGTTTCCTAATTTTTAACTTGTTGTGTGCATGAAAACTGCTGTTCTGCGCTTTTATTATTTGATTCACAAGTTCTTCGTCTCTTTTTAAAAAAAACTTTTCTTCGTCTTTTCTTTAAGAACGAAAAAAGAAAAACGTTCTTTTGAAAACTAACGAACAAAAATTTGATCATTTTTTTTTTCTTTTTGAAGAAAATCAGCTTTGTCATGGCCCAAAAGGTATGGTTTTGGTTAAAAAGAAAATTTATTTCCGTACCTCACGTCAGGGTGCCCACCGCCGCCTTTTTTACTTACTTTAAGGCAACGGTGTACACAGAGCAACTCACGCTCATGGATTCTGTGCTCTTCAAATGTAGAAACATTTCGGAGCACAGAAAATCCCTTTTCGAAACCGAACAGTTTCCCGATAGTACTTTTTAAACACTTATCGGAATGGACTGTGTATACCATCCTGGCACAGTTCTACTTAAAGCGAAGAACACGAATCGTTTCACACTTCATCCAAAATTGTCGAAATCCTCCACCAAATACAAAACGTGCATTTGGAGGTTGTCATTCTCTCTAACTCTACCATAGCGAGGCTCAAGGGCACCTGGTCTCGTGTCCTCAAGAGCAGAAGGTGAACTTTTCACATTCTATGAGAACTATATTGTCCCCACAAGATGGGCATGGACTTCTTATCTTTCAAGGTGGAAAACTGCGTTACGCACCTTTCCATCTCCTTCGAAATTCTCAGGGCCTTGCCATTTTTCTGATCGAGATCCGCTAGGGGTGGGGACTTTTAACTTCACAGTCTGTACGCGACTGAAGCCATGAAGAAATAGTTCAACTCTTTTTTCGAGCTCAAATTTTGTCGAAGAGTCTTCGATAGATTTCTTGAACTCAAATTCAGTGGCGCAACAGCCCTTGAGGACCAGGGCCTACTGCGTCCATCCCAGTTACTTGACGACGATGATGATTGTTTGATTTTATCGCACAAGAGCCAAATTAGACTTAGCTGCACCAAACAATGATTCAAAAAGTAATACAACTTTGAAAACTGGTTCTAAATCGTAAATAATTTGATAAAGTCAGATTTTACTCAAAATGTTTTAATACAATTTCACAATTGGAAAAAATAATTTAATATAAAAAGTAAAAAGTAAATAATAATAATAATGTTTAAGTTTCATGATTTTCGCAAAGTAAATAAATAATTCATTTATAAAAAGATCATATTCTATTAAATAAATTCTATAAAAAATTATAATGCGGTGAGGGTTTCTTCCACCAAGTCAGACAAGGTAAAATGACAAAAGTACTATCGAGGAAAATGTCATTTTCGGCTTCTAGTTGGAGTTAAAAGTAGTGATCCTTTCCAATATTATTTCCCTTCTTTTTCTACGAGATCAGGATGCGGTTGAATTTCATTTTCCTCCACGTCATAAGTAATCATATCTTCTTCATCCGTGGTATATTCCTCAGGAGCTGGTTTTCTTCGTCTATGTGGAGCCATCTTAATCTCTAGTATTGCGTCATACATTTTTTTCAGTAATTCTTTTTTCCTTTTCCGGCTCGAGCTTTTGATATTTTCTTGGCATCCTGTACCGTATTAGAATCAGACGGTGGTTGAATAACGGACTCGGATGAGGAAGTGGGTATGATTGAGGAAGACGAATCAATACGGGTAAACATATCATTGGTGGAAGGTGCATCATTAGATGTAGGAATAGGTAGTTGAGGCTCTGAATTAGTAGCTGCTATTGAAGAGGTGGATGGCAGGAGTTGGGCTTGGGTTGAAGATCTAGAAACATCAGGAGGAGATATTGATATATTTGGTCTTGGCTTGGATGAAAGTGGTTCAAGTAATTTTAAAGGTGGACATTTTACTTTGGTTACATTTTCATCTGTTTGGGTAGAATTATTTAAAGTAGAGGATTTGGCAAATTGAGCGCGTGTTTGAGATAACTGTGGGACTATTAATTTACCTGTATTTGTTTCTCTAATTTCCATTTAGGGCATAATTTGGAATCTGGTCGATGAGGTTGTGAGCAGCTTATACATTTTGGCTCTAGAATGCAATCTGTGGAAGCATGTCCAGTAGACGCACATCTAGAGCAAGTCAGTTGTCCGCGGCAGGAAGTTTGCGAGTATCCGAACCTCTGGCACTTAAAACAGAGTAGAGGATTCGGAATGTACGGACGGATTTTGCAGTTCAAATATCCAGCTTTAATAGATTTGGGTAGATTAGGGCTACTGAATGTTAAAATTATATGTTTGGTTGGTATAACTGTTGTATCTTTATTGAGATTCTTCTGACCTGAATAACACCCTAATCAGATAATCCATCCAAAATTTCTGCATCAGGGGTGGTCAACAGGTCAGGTTCGGAAATAACACGGCAGGAATTCAGGGTTTTGTGTGGACATCATTAGAGGACTATTTAGAAAAGATTTAGCAAGAAGAAAGGACTTAGTTTGAAGAGCAGAGTTCGTTTCAATAAGTAGATTCCCGGAACGCAATCGTTTTAATGATTTCGGTTCACCACCTATTCCTACGAGAGCTTTCTGTATTGCAAAGGGCGATTTCTTCGACATCTCATTGTTTTCAAGTGAAAGTAATAAAAATCTGGCAGCCGTTGAAACTTTGTCAATGTTGAGAGTGAGTAATACAAGGCCTTTAACCGGGTACAGCAGCATTGGATCCATAAACGTGTAAAAAAACTTCATTCTGGCGTGCCTCCACCCACCATGGAGTCCAACAAGGGAGGCAGTGTGCCGGTCATCTGGCAAAACCAGGCACTGCGCTTACATAGAGTACACCAGAATATGTGATACAGCTAGGGTGGGATCCAATGGGTAAACCGCCACCCCTTATCTGCAGCACTAACCCTAGCAATGTTCTTCGGGACACGAAGAGAGGTATCCCAGCCGATTGACAGGAGCGGGGTCACTCCCGCCTCCCGTCTACAGCGAAGCGTGGGCCCAAAAGGGATTCCCAGGGGCACCATTTTCCTCCCTACGGGACGCCACCGCAAACATGCGGGTTGGCTAACAAACGTTGTT